ATTCCATTTCCTCGGTGGGCAGCCCTTATGTGGAAACACTGGGATGATCCAAAGTAAACAGGATGTGCCCTAAAGATGAGTGAGGGGAAAGGAATGAGGGGGGGGAGAGAGAGAGAGAGAGAGAGAGAGAGAGAGAGAGAGAGAGAGAGAGAGAGAGAGAGAGAGAGAGAGGGGGGGGGGGGAGGGGAGAGGGGAGAGGGGGAGAGGGGAGAGGGGAGAGGGGAGAGGGGAGAGGGGAGAGGGGAGAGGGGGAGAGGGGAGAGGGGAGAGGGAGAGACCCCAATACTCAACTCTTGCGGTGGGAAACACTGAAAACAGCTGAAGGAGGCAATTCAGATCACTGGAACAAGGTCGGACGGAGTCTGGGCAGCAGAATCGCCAGCAAAAGAGAAAGAAAAACCGCCCCAAAGAGAAAGGTGAGGAGGACCCAGATAGCAAGCTACAGAAGGGGTCCATACATGTTTGGGCACCAGAAATGTAGCTGTTCTGGCTGTACCGACCTGGGTACCCTGGAGGGAAGGGGGTGAGAAGATGCGGAGACAACAACACAAGCTCCTGGAGATTGTAAGCATACTCGTTTATTCAAACAAAGGCTCGGGCTTATATTAGGAAATTGGCAGGCTTTTGCTTCTATGGCTATTGTGGCATTTCTTGATTTGGCCCTGGGTCTTTCATCAGCGGTTGTCATCTTGGGGTCCAGTTTCAGGCTCTTCTGGGTCAAGGTGCTACTGTGCATGTCACAGCTCTTTTGACTTGGGGCTTAACCTGTTCATCTGGCGTGTGGGCCTTATCTGCTTCAACATTTAACCACTGAACCATCTCTCCAGTCCCTATATTTATATGTAAAGTAATTTGGCTACCCAGTGGTACAGTGCTTATATAACAGTAGGCCTTGGGTGTGGGAGAGAGAGAAGGGAGTGATCTTTTAGACACAATGTAATGGGGTCAGACAAATTTCAAAGATGGAATCAATTGTACTGAAGAAGTCTAACCAATTGAACTCACCTTTGAAGTTCGTTCTCTCTATCCTGAGCATTATTTTTATTACTGCTTAACTCCCCCAAAGTGTGATACTGCCATGCTTAGCAATGTTAACTCAAAATTCCTGCTATGAAAAAAGTCACAGGAATATTAATATTTGTAAATATTGGGAACATGTCAAAAAACTCAAGGAGACTTCGGAGGAAGTCAGACTTCTCAGGGAAATTTAGAAAAACAAAGACTAAAAGCAACATGAGAAGAAACTACAATGGTTGAAATTCCTTTTGTCCTGTGCCCGGTGCTCTGTGAAACCAGTCCTGTGCACCATTCATTCACTTTCTGTGATAATACACACCACTTAACACATTTCACAGCTAAAGAACCTGGACCAGTTTCAGAGGATGTAATGTGACTCACTGGGATTTAAGCTCAAAGCTCATGCTATAAGCCTTTTGATTCATTATATGACATTATTATAAAACAGCATTTATAGATAAATGTGTGAGATTTTTCCAAGGAAAGAAGGGGATTGAGATATGGGATTCCAGACATGAAGAAAAAATTCACAGAGATAAAGGCAGAGAATAGCTTATTAAAGGAATCTGAAGGAAGTAGATGGTCAACTAGGTGGGAAGTCCACACCCTTCCTGTCTTCAGCCTCTCTCTCTCTCTCTCTCTCTCTCTCTCTCTCTCTCTCTCTCTCTCTCTCTCTCTCTCTGTCTCTTGCAAACACACACACACACACACACACACACACACACACACTTCCCAGGACAAACCATTCCCTTTACAACACAGATCACAAGAGGGCAGGTAGGGCACTTGAGGATTGAGCTACAGATCCAGCCTGTGTTTTCGCTTTGGAATCTCTTGCTTACCAGTTGCTTTGCTGTAGCTTCCCCATGTGCCACCCTCTACAGTGGGTGCTGACAAGGGGCAGTGCAGTCTCTTCCTTATAAGAGTCTGCTGTATATAATCAAGACACACTGACTAGTACATTAATGGAGTGATTTCTTTTTTTTCAGGGAGGTGAAGGAGAATAAACAATAAAATAAGAGAGGAAGAAAAGAAGAAAGAAAAACATGAATGAAAGGAGGAGAAAAGGGGGAAGAGATGTGGGGGAGGGGGAAAAGGAAAGTTTGCCCCCCCCTCAAAAACTATATATAAGGGGAACACCTCAAAGCTGAAAAGAGGTGCCTGATAGATTGTACCCCCTACAGAGAATGCACCTTCTCAAATTCGTCTTGACTCTTAGCGATAAAGAGCCAATGGCTACTTAAGCCTTATTGATGAGGACAGAATGAACCTTCACCTCCACACACATTCACTTAATCCTTCCAAAAATTCCCAATGGATGAGAAGTGCTTTACAAACCAGCTATTTTCCTCTGAGTGCTATCATTATGGGCCAATTTATTTTAAAGTGTTTCCTAAAAAACATAACCTCCTGACTAATAGGAACCTGCCTGTCAATACAGAAATCCTATGGCAGCCATTCAACAGTGCTGCAGACACACAATACATGTGCATTTGTTGTTTTCATTTATAGTCTGAATGTCGTTTTTGAAAATAACAAAATTTATTTATATAAAGTGTTTCATTTTGGGGATAAAAAGTGTTTCATTTGGGGGATAAAATGAATGGCTATGTTCTTCTAGGAATTATTGCAATTGTAGTTGCTTAGTCCTTTTGGTTGGGGATATTGAAAGACATAGGAAATGTAGAAATGCTATTGTCCTTTAATTAATCCCAAAGCGACAGTCATGGGCACGAAGTCCTGAAGTGTTTGCTACTCACCTGTGCACGGTTCAAAAAATCTACTTAAGAAGCATATATCTGTGTATACAACTTCTCTCTCACTGTATTTTCATTTTGATTGATTTTTATATTTCTCTTCTGAACTTCATGACTTGGAGATAAAATGAACTTGGCACTGACCACTTGATATTACAGAATGTACTGAACACATGCTCTTAAGAGAAAATTGGATCCGTGATGTGACTATTTTTATTTAATGTCAGGTAGTCACAACTTGTTATGACTAGCTTTTCTTACGACTCTGAAATTGTACTGATAATGAGAATTCACTTTGGGTGTTTGGTGCACTCCTGTAGCAGGACTTCATCTGTAAATTACATGATAGGCTGATTCTGCATATAAGTTTCTAATACTGGGATATTGTTTATTTGCAGTTTTATCAATATGAATTAATAAAAATATTGACATTATCTGAATGATGCTCATAGTTCAGGTAACTGTTACACTGATGTCAATTTCCTGGGATGACACTGTATTAAAGTTATGTTATGGGAGATTTTACCACTGGCAGATGTAAATAGAAGGGTATATAAATTATGTATCTTTATCTTTGATTTACTATGACAAAACCCCCCAAGGTAATTGACTCATAAAGATCAATGGCTTATTTACCTCAGAAGTTTAGAGGCTCAAAAGCACAATGCCTGATTCTGGGGAGGTCATCAGGTGTTAGTATTTCATGGAAGGTATGCATGTAGATATTCAGAGAGAAGGAGGGAGGGAGGGAAAGACAGAGAAGAAAGAGAAGGAGAAATTTTGTTGGCATACCCTGATGATGATTAAAGCCTGATTTTTTTTACCTTAACTTCATCTTTTATTTTTTAAATTTTTGACAATTTTCATGCATGTACATAATATACTATGATCATATCCTACACTCATTATACTCAAAAAACAATGAAAATTTCTGTTGAATTTCTAATCTCAATACATAAATAAAATATACCTTAGAGGAAAGGAATATTTTAAGGTCTGATTTTATAGGTCTCCTAATTTCCTATACATTTAGTATATTGGTTGGATGTTGTGTTACTGATACCAGAAAGAGAATTTAATCGTACTTGGCTCCTTGCTCTCCACTGTAGTATCTCCCTAGTAAGATCCTCAGTCCCAGCCAGGCAGTGGTGGTGCATGCCTTTAATCCCAGCACTTGGGAGGCAGAGCCAGGCATATCTCTGTGAGTTTTAGGCCAGCTTTGTCTACAGAGTGAGATCCAGGACAGGCACCAAAACTACATGGAGAAATCCTATCCCCAAAAAACAAAACAAAACAACAACAAACAAAACAAAACAAAAAAAGATTCTTGGTCCCACTGATTACAGGATCACCACCCAGACAGGTTGGCTAAATACAGGATTGATATTGGTATTGTCCCTTTGATATTATAAATATTATAAATAAATAATAAAAGTAAACCATTGATCAGTTATTGCTTTTGTAAATATATTTTTTTTAATTTTATTTATTTATTGTATATACGGTGTTCTGCCTGCATGTATGCCTGCAGGCCAGAAGAGGGCATCAGATCTCATTATAGATGGTTGTGAGCCACCATGTGGTTGCTGGGAATTGAACTCAGGACCTCTGGAAGAACAGCCAGTGCTCTTAACCTCTTAGCCATCTTTCCTGCCCTTGTAAATAATTTTTAATGCTTATTGATACAGATGTATTGTCCAAAGTGATTGGATAAACAATGATAGTTTCATACAAGTATATTATGTACTTTGGTCATATTTGTCCTAATTTGTCCTCTGCCCATTTCCTATCCTGCTTTGCCGAGATGATTTCATTTTTACAGAAATAAGTCCCTCAACTCTTCAACTTTCATGGCATATGTATATGTATATGTGTAATATAATAAAACATATATTATGGAATATATTTTAGATTACTGTAGTTGGTGTTCCTCACCAGGGAAGTAGGTGTTAACATAGCATGGCAAGTATGCTTATAGATATTAAAACACACATACACACACACACACACACACATACACTCATTCACAGAGAGAGGGAGAGAGAAAGAGGGAGGAGAAAGCAAGCACATAATCCCATTCCAGGGCATAGTCCAATGACTTAAATCTGAAATTTTTACTTAACCTGCATTTTTTATTAAGAATATTTTTATTCATTTTACATACCAACCACAGATCCCGCTCTCTTCCCTCCTCCTGCCCCCAAGCTTTCCCCTACTCCAACCTACCCCCTATTCCATCCTCCGACAAGGTAAGCCTCCCATGGGAAGTCATTGAGAAAGAGAGAATCTGTTTTCTCTGGGAATGATCCTGAGATGGGTCATTCGATCCAACCTGGTTGTTTGTGAAAAAATACAAATACAGCAAGATTAAGTGACTTAGCAGTCTGAATTTATGTATCTATCTGTATAATGTTAAATTAAAGAAGAAATCATAAATTTGAGAGGGAATAAAGGGAGTTGAGGAGAGAACAGGATATAAATGTGATGAGAAGAGTTGGGGAAAGGGAAAACAAAACAATTGCATGAAAAAATTAACTAAAAATAAACAAATACATATAACCACCAGAGGAATGATGTAAATACAGTACTCATGTATTAAATTCTCAAAAGATAGATAGATAGATAAATAAATAAATAAATAAAAGCTGTCCCTGTCTGAAGAATGGATCTCTTCTCTTTATAATTATAATGAAATTTCATTTCTCTCTGTAAAATTTTTCATATCATTATTTTGACATCAACCCTTCAGTAAATGCTCACAACAAACCATGAGTCTGTACTAGAAGGTTAAAATACATATGCTTCTAAGGTGTATGTGTTGTTAGAAGTTTTGAGAGTAATTCTGAATTTTACTTGGCCTTGATTACCGATTATTCTACACTCTTTGAGAACAAAATTCCAAAGTTAGCTGCCTGGACTATAAATGAATAGGAAGTTATCTCTCACATAACTGAAAAGTGTCCTGATGAAAGTTCATGTTGAAGTTAAGTTCTAATTAGAGATGGGATCTCTGTAGACATGGGCAGCCTAGAAGAAGCTCTTCAGATCATGTAGGCCTAGAATTTATGGAGGTCTTCTCTGTCTACTAAACACATCATTGGAGACATCAACCAGCATTCCTATACATTTATGATATTATGGTGTGATTATAGGAAAACTGAGACTTGTGGTAATAAAATGATATGATAACAAAGAATAAAATCTTTTCATGATAAGCAATACTTTTGATCATAACAAAGTCATGTTTTCAAACTTGTTAATAGCTTTAGGTTATTTTCAATGAAGCTGATCAAGTTACTAAGAAGCTAAAATCTATGTGAACCTAAGCCTACACTGTTTAACTGCTTTTTGAGGCATTCCAGCATATTGCCTCTAGGTGTCTACTAGTTGTCTCTAAAATGAAAAGGAAATAAATCTTGCAAATTATTTTGCTTGAAAAAAAATGATGCCACATATCATAGGGACCTTATGTTACTTATAGAGTAATTTGGATCTCATATTTCCCCAAAATTATTTGAATTGGATGTGTGCTGAATTGGTAGAACGTATCTGTGGTCTGTCAGCTTTAGCAGACCTCTCTCTGTAGATAGAGCTAAAAGAATATTTGAGAGCCCTAAAGGGCTTAAAGAGTTCACAGTCTCCCCAAAAGGAGCTGTGAGCATGGATGGAGAGAGTATTCCAGAATCATGGTTGGTGGAGGATAGGTACTGACTCACATTGTCACCCTCATTACCTTGAGGGACCTTAACTCAGGCCAAAAGGGGATTATCAAAAAGGGATTGATTCTAAAATGAATTTCCACATGATGAAGGGAGTTGGAGATTTCATTGAAGACATTTTTATGTAGATTTTTGTGGACTTAATCATGAAGGTTAAGAGATAAAGAGAAACGTTCAAACAGAAAATAGAGCACACAGAGAGAATGGATGTGGGGTTCTCTAAGAGAAAGTATCAGAGAGTAAGAAATACCAAAGTGTAAGTATTGGCTCCTCAGGAAGGGCCACAAACAAGGGCCTTAGTGTTAGCCATTTGTGCCATTTTGGGAGTTCTCAAGTTACATCTTGAAAATTTACTAAGAAACCCCCATTTCCTTTTTTTTTTTCTGTTTTGTTAACTGAGAATATAGGAAGGTGACTCCAGAAATGTCTTAGATAGAATTATAATGTGATATAATAAAGTCATAACCCCCTAGGGTTTCAGGAAGATTTTAAATATATGTCATTTCCTTGTAGATGAGATTTATGTTGAGATCCCTAGAAAGTGACTGGGAAGTGAGAAAGGCCATTATTAATTGCTAGATTTCTTGCTTTTTTTGCTAATGTGAGAAGTCAGCTAGGACCGGGATGAAAGACTGCCCTAGAATCTCGCGTCTCCTTTCTATGCTGCTTTGGCATCCGCACAGACCACTGCTGTTTTCACTCCTCTGTTCCATGGTGCAGTCTGATGTATGTTTTTCTCCTTGCAGCACAGTTGCTAGCCTAGGCTACCATCAGGTATCTGTGGCCCCAGCCACGGGAACTGTGTTGGCACCCATGAGAATTTGTTCAGCGGTTAAGGTTCTTCCAACAGCACCTGTTGTAAGATGCTCTGTCACTGTTCCCTTAGGGTGTGCTTCCTCAGTGCGGTGGCTTTACTTGTGCTTGGTAGTTCCATAATCAATAACCTTGTTTCAAGAACCGAGTAATCCGTCCCAGTGACTTACCCTTTTCATTTTGTCTCCAGAAACACAAATGCTTCTTTTCTAGTAATAGATTTTTCAAGTTAATATTGGGTCCCAGAGCTCAATAAACAAACAAACAAATAAATAAATAAACAAACAAACAAATAAATAAATAAATAAAATGATGAATGAATAGATAAATAAAAGCAAAAAAACAAGCAAACAAACACAAAAAAGTCATAAAATATCATTTTAATTATTGCAATTATAACTGAAAGTTAAGAGGCTGAGCTTTATCAATTATTGGCTTGCAAACCATGTCTTAGGCCCTGTGTTAGATCCCCAGCATTGGAAATCTAATAATCTATAACCCAGTATAAGCATAGTGGTGGTCTATCCATCTCACTATAAATATGCTTCACATTCTCTTGTACTTAAGAAAGAAAACTAGTTTTGAACTGAAGAATCTTTCTGTGAAACTAGAAAACATCTAGATAGTCTCTGAAATGACCTGTTTTTTTAAAGTATTTCTTTTATTTTTTTGAGATTATAATATAAGCACATCAATTCCCCCTTCCCTTTACTCCCTATAAACCCTTCTATGTACTCCTACTTGCTCTTTTGAAAATTTGTGTACTCTTTTTAAATTAACTGTTGTTATATGAATATATGTATATGTATAGATTCTCTTTCATTTAAAATGACAGATAACTTTAGTATGTCTACCACCATGACTCCCCCTCCCCCTACCTTTTCTTTTCATGGACTTCCATAGGAAAACATTTAGGCAGTGGGTAATCTGTGTATTAACACCTTAGGTCATGATATACAGCTCTTCTATTCAATATTATGGGTTTTCAGAAGCAGAATTTTTTGATATAAATGACATTTACATCAACAATTTTAACTAAAACTGGCTGTACTCCTCAATGTGTGTGGGCCTCATTCCGTCAGGTGAAGGCCATCACAAAATACAGACTTTGTAAGAAATTAAAACTGTGGACTCAACCAAACTCTTTCTCAAGTCTTCAATTTGCCACAGTATGCTTCTTCAATTATTTTTAATTGGCAATCCTTAAAGATGCTGTGACCCAATCCTTAAAATAAAATTTTTAAAGGATATAGAGAATATATATTCTTTACACATAGAATTTTGTCTGTACACACACACACACACACACACACACTGCTTGCTTGCTCTGTTTCTTTGAAGAATTCAGAAATTTATACCAGGTTTTACCCACTAAGATAGAAATCATGCTATGTCTTTAGTGGATTTAGTGTTACAGACTAAAATGCACTTTACATATAAAACATCTAGATTCATGTTTGTCTCAATAAATGTTCTGACTTATAGGACGAAGCCCTTACTTTTTAAATAATATTTAATCCTCTCATCTCTAGGTCACAAGCATTCTGTGCAAACTTCTTTCCCACTGCATGCACCTTATGCAGGAAGACCCTGCCTTGCCTTCCCTCCCCTAAGTATTATCTTAGAACCCCAGGATTTGTTTTAAAACTCTGAAGATGTAGGGATTAGGCAGATCAGTGGGGGGACAACTTTAGCACAGAAAATTTGCCTTTATATGCTTAAAATTTAACTTTAACTATAAGACACGTGTAACAAAAGGAACGCTTCTTTTCAGTGAAGGCTGCAGAGAAGCTGCCTATACTGAACAGAGTCTCACAAAACAAAATAGATCTGTGTGATTTTTCTCTTTGGTATTAATTTTTAGTGAGTATGCAAAGCAATGGGTTTCCTTATGACATTTTTATACATGTATTGTATTTTGCTATTTTTAACCACACTTTTCTTCCCATCTCTCCCTCCCACCTTCCTTCCTCCCTCCCCTCAACAAAAAGTCTGTCTGCTTTCATTTGAAATCAAAAGACACACACTTGAATGCATATTTCTCTAGTTCCATGTAGACTACCCATAGGAGAAAACATTCATTCACTATTTTCATTTTTGTATTCTTTCATGAATCTCATTTTTCTGACACATAATAATTTAGCCCAATCTTAGGTCTAATGTAATGACTTCATTACATAAATTAAATTAAGGGTGTATCACTACCCTTCAAGATTAAAGTGAATTTGTCCTAATTTTCACAAGTCTATCTTAATAAGAGTGTTTTGTTGTTTTGTTTTGGATCATAAATAAACTGATTAGAGATCATTTCCTGTCAAGAAGCAATGGGTTAGAGTTACTGCCAATATTTTATAATAAATACCCTAAGCATACTCTACCTCTTTTCTGCCATTGGTGCAGACCAGTTGACTAACCAAGCTTCCCTTCAAAGAATAAATATATCATCTCAGACTTGACTAGATAACAGTAAATTTATTTATGTGTTGCTTAAATTATTCAATGTTTTCTTCACTTTAAAAACTATTCTTAATAATAAAGTACTAAAGCACAATACTTTAACCATTCTTTATCCAAACTAAAATACTAAGTGCCTTATTGTTGTCAAAGCTCTTATTTTATTCTGACTGTTTGTTTCTTTACAGTCACATTTCAGTGATTTGATGACATGTTTAGGGATGAAATGTTTGCTAAAACTTTCACAAGGAAAATAAAAGATGCTTTAAAGCCTCCCAGAGCCATTAAAAGGGGATAGTCTGTATGTTTTAAATTTTTCCTCAAGTAAATTTTATTTATTGTGAAAATAACTAGATATTGATGTTTATTTGTATAACAGTTTATGATGATTTTAAAAACAATATCAAGGTCAACAGCTAATTTTCTTAGTGGAAAGGCAGGGCTGACAAGATGGTTCAGGCTGTAAGTGTGGTAAGATGACTCAGTGCATACAGGTATTTTCTGCCAAACCTGATGCAAGTTGGATCCCCAAGGCTCAAGAGGTAGAAATATAGAACCAACGTCTACTAGCTATCCTCTGATTTCCACGTATTCACCATGGTATGCAAACCCCAACAGATAAGTAAAAAGTAATTAAAATCTATTAAAAAGAAAAACATGAACTTATTAAAAGCACAAAGTAATGTTTAATTTTCACAAAGAAGAGAATATCAGTAAGTTACATTGCATCTTGTAACATGAAGTTGAAATTAATTTAAAACCCTGTCTTGTGACAGCAGATAAAACCCATAAATTTAGGGATGTTGGAAAAAAATAAAACCTTTAAGTGTGACTCCTATATATAGGGGCCATGTGAGGGGTAAAATTTTTTTGTTGTTCTTAATCTATGGTAGATAAATCAATATTCAAATTTACTCACTTTCCTTTTTAATAAAAGAAATGAACACAATGCAGTGAGGAAAGTACATGCCTAAAATGCCTAAGCCCTTGCATCAGATCCCACAGTGCCACAAACAAACAAACAAAATGAAAGTAAATAAATTAATGAACAGATAGTTTACTGTGCTATTGTTGCATTGCTACAATCATGTTCATTGTTTAATTGAAGAATAAAGGAAACCAAGATGGGTGGTGGTGACATATGCCTTTAATCCCAGCACTCAGGAGACTGTAGCTAGAAGATTTTTCCAATCCTGCCAAGCCCCTGCAGTTCCATGGCCTGCTTATAAAATAATTACTCAGAAGCTTATACTAATTATAACTGCTCAGCCATTAGCTCAGGCTTTTTACTGACTAGCTTTTACACTTAAATTAACCCATAACTCTTACCTATAGTTAGCTTGTTACCTTTTCTCTGTTCTGCCTTGACATCTTGCTTCCTCTGTGTCTGGCTGGTGACTCCTGATTCAGTCCTTCCTCTTCCCAGAATTCTCCTTGTCTGCTTGCCCTGCCTACACTTCCTGCCTGGCTACTGGCCAATTAGCATTTTATTTATCAAACAATCAGTGCTACACATATTCACAGCATGTAGAACGACATCCCACAGCAGGACACAGAGGCAGAGGCAATGGGATCTCAGAGTTTGAGAGCAGCCTGGTCTACAGATCAAGTTACAGGACAGTCAGGACTACATGGAAAAGCCCTTTCTTGAGAAACTAAAAATTAATTAATTAATTAAATAAATAAATAGATAGATAATTTTTTTAATTAAAAAATTAAAAGCCAAATATCTTGAACTGGAAGAATATCATTGTAAGACTAGGTGTTATCATCTACATTTTGCTTGTAAGATTCCAAGAGTACTTGTTTCTACTTTATCTGCACAATAATTCAGAGACAATCAGTGCTGAGAGGGAAAATTTCCATAGAGGTAACATAATGGACTTCCATTGAGAAATCCCTCATTCCTCAGGAATACACTGCTTGATTTATTAAAAATGTAAGCTTTTACACAGTGATATACTACTTTACAAATTTGTAAACTGAGATTTGGAGAAGAGAGAAAAGTATGTATTCACACATATAGTCAGGAAATAATACTGAGAAACTAATTTTTCTCTCTATTATTACAAGTCCTTATTTTCAAAGATGAAAGATAAGTTGTCAGATGTTATAACACTGACAGTCAAGAAAATGAAGGCAGTATAGATCAACTAACCCCCAAATTAACAAGTAATGAAAAAATGCTGTGAAAGCAGGTCCAGCATCTTAGGAGAACATGTACAATAATAAAACTTGACTGATGCTAACAGACCAAGAAAATTATCATTAAGGTGAAGTGTGAATAAATGAAAAATCTAGGATGGGAGCCAGGAAAATCTCCACTGGCTCAAACCATGCCAAAAAGGGTGCTTCGCATTATTACAGAACTATTTTTACCATTTTAGAATACAAAGTAAACCAAAGCAGAGCAAATGAAACCGGAACAGATCTTAAAGGTCCACTTCAGCTCTCATATAATTCCAGTGTTTAGGTAGTGATTGAAAGCCTACCAAGTAGAAGGACTCACAGAAAGACACGAGCATCTGCAGTAAAGACTGAAATAGCTAGGCATGGTGGCACACACCTCTAAGACCTCCCTAGGAGGCAGAGGAAGGACAGTTGCAAGGACTAAAGTCAGGACAGGCTGTGTAGGTCTATGCCAGACGAGGGAACTACTGAGATGTTATTTCAAAAGCTCAAAGACGGTCTGAGCGTGTAACTTTATAGCAGATATTAGAACTTGGAAGGGCCTGGGTTCAAGCCCAACATGTATGCACACGAAAAGCCTAAGACAATCTTCTCCTCATTATGACAGAACCAATGGGGATCTTACCCTGAGCCCCAGGTAAGAGCTCTGGGTACACACAAGTCCCACTGTACTTGCTACTTTAACTCATTTATTCTTCTTTGTCACCATTGAGAATTTATAACTCATCTCATCCTGGCTGAGTAAATACTTTGAACTCTTGCTCCATGCCTGAAACAAAGGAGATGATATAAGTTGGCATTTGAATGTGGTCAGGATTTCCACAACATAAGTCAAAGCATTTCTCCGAAACACCCCAGGCCTTATGCATCCCTTAGATGAGAATACAAGCTGAATTATTTCACTTTCTAAGCAAAACAATTCAAAAGACACAGGGTATCAGAATAGACTGTGCAGGACTAGCTGTGAAAAGACAGCAGGAAATACAAGAGGTCAGGAGGAGTCAAAGTGAGGTATTCACATCGCCATAGCCATCAACATGCCCCCCTGGGCTAAGCTCTCCTGAGGTTCTGACCTTATCTCACCTTGGAGAAAGTTTCTGTGCAAATGAAAGATACCTCTGATCCTGCAGCAACACTGGAGAGATGTCTTTGGATACGATCCAGAAGGTAGTGAAATCAAAATCATAAATCCCGTGGGTGCTTATCCCCGCTAACAGAGAAAAATAAGGAAGCCTCTGAGTGCTGCAACTGTTTCCATCTGTTCTCTTTATGTGTAACTGATGTAAGAAATTAGTGACTGCCAGAAGTCACTTGGTTTGCAATTACAGTGTTTAATGATATTAGTACAAAGTAGGAAAATGAGCTAGTCTATTCTCTAACAGAAAGCACAGATGAAGGTGAAATCAACTTCTGAGGCACTCTATCACCTATGACACCTTGTCTCATTATCTGAAGTAAAGGAGAGTTCCGACTTAACTTATGAGGCAGATGGAAAATCCCTAAGACCTGCTGACACAGGAGGGAAGGAACCATCAGAGAAACAGCTGATTCTCATGATGAGCCAAAGCAATGGTGTTGTCTCATAGGGTCAAATGGGACATAGACCTTGGAGCGTCAGTCCTAATACAAATTAACCTTTGACCTTTAGTGTTTGTTCCATGTCAAAATCAGGTGCCACCATATCCATCCCGGTTTGTAGCCTGAACCTAGCAGCTCACACATCCATTGGTTCTGACTTTCCTTTAAGCCACCAAGGCATCAGAAGAAACATCATCTTCCCCAGATCTTGATCATCCATTTCCATTTAAAAGGAAGACTTGCACGGGGGATTATGAATCTCTGCCCTGACAAATGCTCACAAGGAAACCACACTCCAACATAATGAAACTGGATGTTCTTGCATAACCCAGTACTATAAATGGTCAAAAACAATGATTCTCCTAGAGTACATACAAAATGTAGAGTTATTTTTATAGATTGTCTTTTAGTGAACGATGTCGGAAAAAAGAAAAACTCACAAGACAAGCAACTGTTGAAAAATATTTTGTCTGTTGGAAGAACTAGATTTTAGTAGAAAATATATGCATTTTATAGAAAAATAGGTATGAGATTTTGAATAACCAATCTGTCACTGTTATCTGAGGACTTAAATACATCCTTTTGAGAAGTCTCCTTCCCAAAGTCTAAAATTCCTAGTGGTAAATATAAACAGTCTAGCTAATTTATACCAAAATATATGTACAAGTGAGCATGAAGATCCTGACATGCAGTAAGTGATTACTAAAGCCCATTTTGACCCTTCAAAATAATCAGATCTTGTACTTTTACTATTTGGGTTGGGGAAGAGAGTCACACAAATCAAATGAATGAATCGTAAAAACTGCAGAGAAATATAACTTTATAATACAATCGTGATCATTTGAAACCCATCACTGGGGTCACACATCATCCGTGTACCCAGGGCTTAGATGAAGAAGGTGAAGGTCATAGGAAGTGCCCATGTTCTGCAAATTCTTTTAGAAAATCAAGCAAGTTTTTTTTTTTTTATTGTCCTTTGTTAAAATGCTCGATAAGGCAGAGTTTGGTTGTTTAATTGTGCAACACTTATACATTTTGCTTTTGAAAGTATAGCAGAAAAACCAGATGTGATGGATGCAACAAATCATTTCATTCTGCTGCTCTTAAGGTTATATTACCAAAGTTAAGGGTTATTGTCTTACATTATCAAATTTAGCAATCGCCCTGCTTTGGAGTTCACAGAACATCTGCAAGTAAAGAAAATTTGGGTACATATATACAAGCCACCTGTGCAGCTTCTGCTGCTGAATTATTTAACTAATATACCTGCTAAATTTTTTTGATTTTGATTTTTGAAAATTTCATACATGAGTATAATACGTCCAACTCTCCCCAACTTACTATGGAACATACAAATGTCCCCGAATCCTCTCTAAACACAAATACATATATAATCCAGTGAAAAAACTTTCATATATGCTATTGTATATCATCCTTATTTATTGTACTTGTTGAAATGAAAAAATACCTTATTATTTTATTTTGAATTATTATAGGGATAAAATATTAATAAATGACATTCACCATGAACACACATTTATTACATTATGAATAACTATATTATTTGTGGCTATAATTTCTGTGGTTTTGCTAAAAATACTAACTTAGGCACTCACGCAAGGTTATTTTTTTCTGTCTTTTTTGACTAAGGTACTTTCAACTAAATATTTATTTGAAGTATTAGAACCGTTCTTTCAGAGATCTCAGAATAAAATCTTTCTACTTGTGGCAACTTCCTTTCTTAGAGTTATATTTTTATATATGCTTTTAGTTATATGATGGAACAAGTAACTACAGAGAGGGCTTTGAAACAGAAAACGTTGTGAGTTCTTGTTTGTTTGTTTGTTTTTTTCTTTTTTTTTTTGAGATCAGTTTACCTGAGATCATGTATACTTACAATCAATGTAAATCAATAGCAATATAATGAACTAGTTTTGTCTTTATGCAAAAGTAAATTTATAGATAGTAATAATTTCACCATTACTGAGCCAAGTTCTTGGTATGATTGGGTTACATCTTAGGTAAGGTACAAATGCATGTATTTATTGCATTACTCATGGTTGGTAATGTATCAGACCTTAGTTGTGAGCTGGAGAGACATCTCAGTATATGGCAGCAAGGTGGGGTCTTGAGTTTTATCCTTAGGACCCACATGGTGAAACAAAAGAAATTATACCACCAAATTTTTGTGACCTCTATATGTGCACTGGAGCACATGTACACCGTTCCCCCTACCCCCACCCCACACACAAAAAGTTTAAAAAGTTTAGTTTCAGTGGGAGGGAGAGGAATAATAGCAAAAAATAATAAATCATATTTATGAAAATATCATAAGGAAACCCATTACTTTATATTTTAGCCTTTGAAAATGTATCTTAAAATGAGAAAGGGACTGGAAAGATGAATTGGAAGTAAAGAACACTTGCTGCTCTTGCAGTGGACCCAGATTTGTTTCCCAGCACCCACGTGACAGCAAAAAGCCTGCTGTAACTCCAGTTTCAATGGTTCTAATACTGTCTTCTGGTCTCTGTGGGTACAAGGTACACACACACACACACACACACACACACACACACACACACATGCAGGCAGGCAAATAGTTATACACATAAAGTATTAAAAATAAATAAATAAATATTTTAAAAAAGTAAAACAAAGAAACAAAAGCTTAATTCCATGCAAAATCGCACTGAGAGAGATTAGAGACCCGACTGAGTCAATAGTCAGATATCGGCTGTCCTAGCTTGAGGATCTGAGTTAGAGCCCAGGTGACCTTGCATGTGTTTGCCATCCCAGCACTGGTGAAGAGTGGACACAGGAAGATCCCTGGAGATCACAGTCCAGTCAGCCTACTGGACCTGAAGAGCTGTGGGTTCAGCAATAAACTCTGTTTCAAAAAATCAGGTGAGAAGACACCTGGCATTGAGTTTTGCTCTACACATGCCTGTGCACCAACATACATGTGTACCCACAAACAGATGCACCCAAACATTTACAAAAATTAAGACAAAAATAGTAAAATTACACTGGAGCTCATAGCTTGACAAAGAGGTATATTTCAGGCACGCTCATTGATAATGCCTTCCACTCACATTAACGATATCATGCTGCAGAAGAATGCAGAGTAGTAAGAACCAGCACACACTGAATACTCAACCTTCCACTCAAGACTGAAGTCTTTCACCCTCACCACATCTTTCATCTCCCAGGTTGTGCAAGGCAGTTTTGGATAGACATTAATCCTTTTTAAATTATCAATGTGATCAAAATATAAAGAAGGAAGAGAACGATTTGTAGGTGAAATTTGAGTATTCTTGGAAGCTAAAGTGTGCCTGAATCTGTTGTATAATGTCTTTAACGCATAAAAGCTTAAATGAATTGGGAAGAGGATGAATGGGAACAAAGCATAATGAGACGTGTATGAAAATGCCATAATCAAATCCGTGTGTGTGTGTGTGTGTGTGTGTGTGTGTGTGTGTGTGTGTGTGTGTGTGTGTTTGTAAATAGATTGAGAGAGAAACTGGGAGGGAGGGAGGAATGGAGGGAGAGAGAGAGAGAACACCAACTGTATGTTAAATCTTTTGGTAAGAACTGTGGACCATGGATTCAAAGATTAAGACAAAAGTATTGCTCACTCTTAATATACAAATTGTTGTGGTGGTTTGAATGAGATATTCTCTACAAATCTTAGGCATTTGAATACTTGGCCCCCAGATGGTGGTGGCTCTTTGTGAAGGATTAAGAGGTGTGGCCCTGCTGAGAGAATTATGGCACTGGGGGCGGGATTTAAAATAACAAAACGCTTCCACTATTTGTGGTTCAAGATGTAAGCTCTCAGCTGCTGCTCAAACTACCAGCCTCTTGCCACCTCCACTGTATCACAGTGAATTCTAAACATCTGCAACTACAAGTCGCAAATCAACTCTTTCTTCTTTAAGTTGTGTTTGTCATAATGTTTAATCAGTGCAGTAGAAAAGTAACTAACGCACTTACATTGGAGGGCAGCATGCAAGTAGGTTGTCTGGGTGGGAATAAGTCAACTATGGGTGGGACAAATTACAAAGTGAAGTCTAGAACGTAGCTAGCAAACTCAGATAGGGAAAAAACACAAGGTCAGGGGAAGCTTTTGAGTAGAAGTGAATTATTCAATGAAAGGTTTTCTCTGGTGATTCCTATTGGAGAACTAACCTCAGTCTCTACTCCGGTGGAAGTGAATTTTTGACTTATGTTCTGTTGTCTTACTATAAGCAACTATAATGACAGTGGCTTAATTGTTATCTTAAATGCCGAGTGGATGGCAGCTTCTCTAAAGGTTGGAATAGAACAAACAGTATAAAACCTGTCTTTGGAGGGATGAAGAACATAAGAAAGTGCTCTCTTGAGAAGAACAAAATTGACATAAATATTAGAATATGGGAGCTTGCCAGATGAGGAAACAAGGAAAATTATTTTAAAAATATAAATATAATTGAGATAACTAGGCAAATACACTCCCCCTTCACTCTGGAAAGTATGTCCACAGTTATATTTCTTCTAGGGGACTATTAATTGTAATGAGTATTTTTTCTGTCCCACCATGAAAGCTTGGCCTTACCTTAGGCTTGTTCCAAACTCTCTCTTATAACTTAAATT